GGGGGGGGGGGGTCTGTATTGAAAAATCAATTCCAAGGGGAAGGGAGAGGTTGAATTGAACTATCAATTATTAGATCCCGAGGAGCCCACACTTGCTTCGCAAGACAAACTCAAGGTAATGTTTCGTGTTTTTTGTTCTGCGCCCAGAAACGGCCGCGGAATTGCAGTAGAAATGCACATGTCAGACATGGATTTAGAATGATTTAGAGATATTTCGAGTGCCAAAAACGAATCTGGGGAGTTTGGATCACTTTGGACCCCTTTGAACATGCATGAGCAAAAGATCTCAAGATTTGTGGGAGAAGTCCGATGATAAGAAACGGGGAGATGTCTCCTACCTACGCAGCCACATTATGGAAAGGTACTGGATGGTGTGATATTGGATGCATGCATTCTTCTACAAGTGATGTATTCTTCTATAACCCTAAGAATCCTTGGGCTCTCCATGGCGGGGTCGGACCCTCCATAGCAGGGGTCCGGACCCTCAAAACCCTATGTGTTTGAGGGCCCGGATTCTTAGGGAAGTAGCATTTTCTGAGATGGCCCCACTTCGCCCCCCACCATGCTCTCCACGCTCTAGTACGCCTTGTCCTTCTCGGGGTCCGGCGGTGGGAGGAAGTCGTAAAGCCCCCCGAGGCCCAAGTCCTGTCGAGCGTGCGACACGTCGCGGCGCTGCGGTAGAGGTTAAGTGACCTGATAGGACCCTACAGGGGTATCTCTAGGATAGTCTATAGGATTCTATTGGGTTCTTCAACCTCTGCTGGATGGAGGCTTCTAAGACTGGAATCGGACAGAGTGAGGAGGACCCGGGTGAGACCCCGATCTCCCTTTTTGGCTCACATCTGCAGCTCACCAATGCTTTGACCTCCACGCCTCCAGGGTCTCTCCGTGGGTTCTCGATTGGTGTGAGACCTTTCTGTGAGCTCTTTGATGCTCTTTGGTATGAGCCCCTTTTGAATGTGATGCGCTTAAGAATTACACAATGGCTCCCAAAAGCTTCAGTGGTAGGCAAGGAGGACAGTTCGGGGCCAGTTTTCAGGGTTTGGGTTCAGCATAGTTCAAAAAATCAAGTCGTCTCGTTCCCACTTGGAGCCACCAGAGATCCAGCTGAACAGTTTCATTCCTTCACGACTCGGGACACCCCGCGGTGGTGGTTTTCGGTACATCCGAGGAAAGGCGCCAGACCTCGTCTGGGATCACGTCCGTGTGTCCGTTCACCGGATCGCTTCAGGTTCCGTATTAGTGTTACTACACCCTGGAGTACTCATGGAACTGGACAGGACAATAGCGCCTTGGATGACCCTTTTCTTCAAACAGGCGGTTTTTGGGGGAGTGTGATTCGTTCTGTTGAATATATTTACAACCAAGACGTACTCAAGCCTTCTCGGAAAATTCTCAACATTTGAAAAGCTCTGGTGATGCCTTTCCAAACCTCCAGGTGTGTTTACAAAACTGTGATTCTCATGACCCGAAATTCGGAACCTGGTCTTCGGAACATCCATGGCTCAAGTTCTGGAGTTCAGCTGCGAGTTCTGGTGGCGTTTGGGGCGCCTCCACGGGTTCAGGCTCCTTCCTCTTCTTGGACTCCGGCGGCATCCCTGAGGGTGTGAAGGCTTTGGGCTGAGCCCTGATTGGTTGGTGGATTGGGATCCCTTTTAATGACAATTGAACGCTTCTTTCAATCAATCTGTTGGAGTGTGTGCCATCATGTGCCACATCTGCTCTGAAACACGTGGTTGAAGCAGGACGATTCGATGTCTCTTGAGGACTCGATGACTATCTTGGCTCCAATAATCCGAAATCCGAATCCATCTTACGTGTCTGCAATCTTAGCCGGGACTATCTGGGAGGCCATTCACCATTCCCCCCACCCGCACTCTCCCCACATGTAAAACAGGTACAATTATTGTTATAATTAGGAGAAAAAAACATGAAGGCGACTTGCAGCTCAATCCAAGTGGGGTCACTACGGCCCTGACAACCCGTACTCTATTTCTATCGATATCTTAAGACTTAAGACCAACAAAAACGCGTCCTTGGTTTCCGGCAGCTTTATGGGCTTCCGTTGGCTCCCCTGAAACCCAGAACTGGAAGGTCGTCTATGCCTAACACCACTCGACCAATAAGTGCAGTGAGCTCCACCCGCACAGGCCCAGTGGACGGGAATGCGCCCAATGCCTGCGCCGGCTACCACCTTTAAGCTTGAGCCATATAGCAACCCACAACGTGCACACAACTGGTTGCCAGGAGTGGCCAGCAGAGCAAAACCAGGTGCCTTGTTGGCCGGATGGGCTGCGTTTCTTGTTGAGCAACTGCCACAGCCATCCACAACCGCGTTATCGGTCAGGAGCATGGCCGGTGGATGCCGGTGGGCCCGGCCAACACCCAATGCCTGTTGAACATTCGATCTAAAACCTCAAATGACTGGCTCTATGTGCATCGCCTAAGAAAACACCACACAACTCACAGCTTGGTGCTGCTTCCGCTCAGGCCACCAAGCGTGGAGTTTCCGCCACCTCGCTCGCCTCTCCCCACCTCCCCAGGGCCCCAGGCAAGCATTCGCTTCCTGGCTCGCCTCAAGACGAATCCACGAGCCTTTCAGCTGTGGAAAACGTTTGGGCTTCGTTGCACGTGTCACTCCTAGAGACATGGAGGGAGCTTCAAACAAGTTCACTGAATCATGGGACCTTCGGTATATGTTTGGTATATTATGGTATATTTGTAGCGTGTGCCCAGGGGTGCCAGGGGGGTCGGGAGTGATTGAGTGTTTTTTGGAGTCGCTAGACTTACTCTAGTTGCAGCGTTTCTTCACGTTTCGTCATTTCATCGCTGTAGAAGTGAACCTCCGACAGGAGCTCGAACCTCCCACAGGTGGCTGATGTGAACCCCTCATCCTCCCCATCCGATGCGGATCCGAGTCCAAAGCTACTCTGAAAAGTCAGTGGTTGAGAACTGCTAGAAAAAAGTCGTATACACCCATGGCGATCTACTAGTGTTGTCACCGTTGCAAGCGACATGTCATGGTCGCCTTCGATGCCTTCGACTCTTGAACATCTGCAATCATCTGCAACCTACTCATCAGTGTTGCGAACCAAAAGGCCCCTGCTTCTGTCATGGCCACAGGGGTGCGAAACAAGAAGCCTGGCAGATGTTCAAAACCTCTGGAGTTTGATCTCAGATGTGCGTAATCTGTCAGGTGTTCGTTCTCTGCGGCTCTGTGCGCGTATTTGGCGGGGCGACTGGCCTCAAACGTGATTAGCTTTCTAGGACACACGTTTGGATTAACTGACCCAGTCCGTTGACTTTCAATCGCTCTTTGTGTTTTGCCTCTTGCTATCCCAAAGACTCAATTTGGGACAAACGTATTTCTCCTTGGCGGTTCTAAACATCAATACCCTTTCCTGCAAGTCAAGAATTTCACTTGATACGGTCGAAATTCATTCCTCAAAGCCGTCTAAATGTTATATATACAATGGATTGAGAATAGATGGCACCATCCCCAAAAGGTGGTTTAGATCCCCATCCAAAAAACCATCTTTGGGGTTTGTGCCATCTACTCTGAAACCACTGTAAGAAGAACAATGTGATAATTGATCGTCCCACACTGGCCACGTGAAATGGACTTCTCAATTCGACCCGCGGCGGATCCACATAGATGTCGTAAGATGCGGTAGGGAAACAACACAATTTCTTCCTCCTGAAGTATATATCTACATAGGGGTGGTGGAAAAGGGACCAACGTCGGTATGTATATGATATATAAAATATATTTCAATCATGGAGTGTCTGGGTATATTTCTTGTTCACAATTCTTCATCACCTCAGGGAAATGATCGAACAGGACCCCGTCTCGCTAAGCTCTCGCATCACTCGCTCCGCCCGAAACCGGCGAGTTCGTTGGCAGTTTCCCCGGGCCACCCGGCTCGGCAGCAGCCTGGCACACAAACTCATCCCGGATTGCCGGGTCGAATTTCCTACCAATTCACTATTAAATTCAATTATTTCTTGACCATTTGTAAACTAAGTTCATTTGATAAAGATTTTATACTATCAAATTCTATAGATGTTATATAACTTGTTGAGTTTTCACTAGCATTACCTGTAGTATTACCAGGATCTACTAATCAATCACCTTTTGAAACTACTATAGTATTTGAACCAGCTAAACTAACAATAGGAAATTGATGATCCATTCTAATTTTTAATATTCCGCCTATCCTATAAACATCCCAAATAGACGTAATTTTAGAATACGCAATAGAATTAGTATCATATTCTCTGATATAAACAAAAATTTCCTTGATGCTGTACTTGTTCGAACAAACAAATTTCCAAGCATGGATATATTTGATGCAGTTGATGTATTGTTCATTCTCACATTTGTAAATAATGCATAATATTACAAATATGTTCATTTCTTTGATTAATACATAGGATTTTTCAGGTATTAAATCAGATGTTATTATAGTAGAATTTCAATTGATCATACTTTCTTTTCCAAAAATGTTGTAAAATTAAAATCATGTGTAAATATACTATTATATGTATTATGCAAACTATTTGAAGTAATATTTTGTGTACTAATTAAGTTTACAACATTACAATCCTTTATTGTTGTAATATTGTTAAATATAGAACTTGTTGTTACGCACATTCTATTTCATGATTTTTATATTAATACAATTGTTATTCACATTCGTGGTATTAGTTGTAACATTTTCTGAACACAAATTATGAGAATTTAGATTATTGATGTATATATTATTACTATTTAGATGCATTAACATTATTGCATACAATATTATCTGCTAGTATATTTTTGTAGATTAGTCAATGAAGAATTAAAACATACTGGTGGATGTAATGATAGAATTTGAACTAATATTAGTTGAAAAATATCAATATTCCTATAGCAATCGTATTATTTGTTTGTTTAAATCACTATCGTTTAACATACACATATATCATATATATATATATCTTAGTTGTTCTAATGTAGTCATAATTCACAATACTATATTATACGGTTAATTTAGAAAAGTTTACATTTAAACTTAAGTGTATATTTAACATATAAGCAATAATTGTACCTTTTTATTGCAAAACAACAAGTTGATTTACTTGAGCAAAATTCAGTATTTTTGAACATTAAACACTACAAGCAAATAAAATCAAATCATGCTATTTTTTCTTTGTGCTAAGCGCACTAAAAAACCTTGCCCGGCTTCATGGGCTCTTCATGCAGTGCTGAGCGCACTTACAATACCACTCCCCTTTTTGGGGCTTCCTCTCGCAAGTTTACGTATTTTATCGTCCCTTCCGTGTAATTTGCACATTGCGCAAAGTCCCAGTTCCTCGACTTGAAATTCTGAAAGCATTGATCAGGACTTTCGCATCGGAGTAACTGGCACCTTCGCGCAATACCAGACTCACCATCAATATGATGTCCAACAACAACGTCTTGTCAAAACCGCATGGTGGGTCCAATGTCTTACACAAGTCCAAGACCTCTTTGACGAATGAAATTGGGATTTTGACATTCTTGTGCTCGATGCAATTGGTCCTTTGATCATAGATTCCGGTCTCAAGGCACTCACCAAGGAATTTTTCGACTGAAGAAGTCATCTTCTTTCCTTGGGCATTTTCGCCAATCCCAAAAAACACCATATGCACAGAATGCATGCCAAGAGAACGTGAATCCTCGTGTGTGCTCAAAACCATCATCCGACAACTCGGAAATGGTGTAGTGTAGAAAAAGCATCAAGTGTCCCAGACGAACCTTGAGCCATCATTGCCGCTTGCCTTCCATATCCAAATCATTCCAAATCTTCGAGTATCACGAAGAAAACTCTGCCTGCGCATGGACATGGAAGAATGTTCAGACTGAGCTTGCGCCATCATTGCCGCTTGCGCTTCATCTCT